GGGCGCCGTTTCTCCCAGCAGGCACCGCTCCCGAGCGGCCGCCCAGCGCGCCGGAGAACGAGGACGTGCGGACGGGCTCCTGGCGGGCGTCGGCCTCATCCGACCCCACGCGCTGGGCGGTCGGCTTCATCTCTCGTCTTCATCGGCCCTTCTCCCTCGGCCCGTGACGCTTCGAAGTCTCCAGCTGACGCACTAGAGCAGGACATTCCGTGCTCACGGGTTGTCGGTACCCGATTGATCCCGGGACTTCTTCCTATCCCAGGAAACCTGCTCTAACAGCATGCTGGGTGGTAGTGGAGGGGGGGGGGGATTCGTCGCCAGCACCTCCCAGCCTCTGCGTCGAGTCACTTCCGTTTCCCCGCCTGAATCGCCATCCTTCCTCAGCCGCCCCCCTCCTCTCCCTCTCTGTCGCAGATCAAGGTGATGGCGCTGTGCGTGACCCTCGTCTTCACCATCACGCTGTCCGTGTTCCCCGCCGTCACCGCCGACGTCAAGACCCTGTACCCCGGGAAGTGGGGTGAGTAGCCCCTGAACCCGAGCCTCCCCGCTTCCTGACGGGAGGCCGATCTCACTCCCAGGGTTGTTCCAGGAAACTCCGGTCCGGCACTGTTACGGATTTTCATTTGGTTAAACCGCCTGCCTGCCTGCCTGCCTGCCTGCAGATGGGGAACCTTCAATCAGGGGGGGTGGGGTGTGCATCATTAATTTTATCGCTGCACACCCCCAGGATAAATTCAGTCCAGGGGCGGGACAAGGAATGGGGGGACGCAGCCCAGGACGAGAGCCGCGCTCCCTCCTCCGGTGTTTCCCCACATCGTGCCCAGATCAGCAGGGGGGACCCCCCCCCTCCCCCCCGAAGGCCCTGGCCTCACGCCCCCCCCTCCCCCTCTCTTCCAGAGGCCTACTTCATCCCCGTCTGCTGTTTCCTCACCTTCAACCTGATGGACTGGATCGGCCGGAGCATTCCCAGCGTCGTCCAGTGGGTACGTGTCGCGTGTCCGGCGACAGTATAGCTCCGGGGGGGACAAAATTGGGACAAAATTCAAACGGAGGTGTCCTGTACGGTCGTTTTTCGTTTTTTTTGGAAGATTGGAAGGGATACAAAGTGAAAAAAGAGAGAGAGAGTTTTGTCAACCCTGCCTCTCCGGGAGCCACGTACCTCAGTTCCTCAGACAGTCCTCACAGTCGCTGTAAGAGGATACCGTGTGCGTGTTTCCTCAAGACGTTTCATTTATCGGGGGCGAAAGGAGATGCAGATGGGCCTTGCGCAGAATAAAGTAACGCCTTCGTCTCTCCTTTTGTCTTTTATATCATTAATTTTTGACGTCGGGATAGATGAGGTTACTTATGGAAATGTATCGGTAAAAGCACGACAGGCAGATTGCTCTGTCCTCTTTCACAGATCTTCTCAGTGGGGGTCACTAATTTCACCCAGCGGCCCAGTTTATGCTAAACCTTTTCTCATTGGTTACAGGCGGAGAGGTGATCTTTCCCATTATATCCATCCCCTTCACAGCACTGACCCCTTGATCGGATTTCTCCAGTGATTCTTCATTGATAAGATCACTTTATCGGCCATATCCAATTTCTTGCATTAGGAATTCATCTTTTCGCAGACCCCAGCTTGCTCTCCAGGAGACACACAGACAGGGAGAGAGAAGCTGGGGGTCAGAGCGCAGGGTCGGCCGTTTATATGGCGCCCCTGGAGCAGCTGGGCTGAAGGGCCCTGCTCAGGAGTCAATCCAACGGAGTAGGATTCCTCTGCCGGCCGCAGGTTTTGAACCGGCAACCTCCCCAGCCACAGGGGCAGAGCCTTAGCCACAGAGCCAGGACTCCGCCCCTCGTGTTTGCGATGTGTGTGCTCTTACTGGCAGCTATGAGATGTGTGTGTGTATAGAACCGTTGAGTATGGGAGGGGGGATTAAATTGTCACTTCTTAAAGGTTTCCGTTTGATTCACAGGACAGAGATATCACAGAGAATCTTGTATATGATGATATTTCTAAAACGTGTGCTCTTTTTATAAACTCTGACCTTTTTCCTGTGCCTTCAAAAGCGGACTTGACCAGTCGGGTTCAGCTGGGAACTGAAGTACTGTGAGCTGCTCCCGGCGTTCCCGGATCTGGGAACGAGCGGAGCGGGGATCTCTACAGGGCCTGACGTCGCTGCTGTCTCTGTGTCTGTCTCCCAGCCCCCCAAGGAGAGTCGGCTGTTCCCGGCGCTGGTGGCGGCGCGCCTGCTGTTCGTCCCCCTGCTCGTGCTGTGCAACGTGCAGGCCCGCGCCCGCCTGCCCGTGTGGTTCGCCCACGACGCCCTCTTCACCGCCATCATGGTCCTCTTCTCCCTCTCCAACGGCTACTGCGTCTGCCTGTCCATGTCCTACGCGCCCCAGTGAGTCCCTGCTTCCTCTCACACACCCCCTGTCCTCCAGAGCAGAGAGGGGACCCCTCTCGCACTCCCTCGCCCTCCAGAGCAGAGAGGGGACCCC